CTTCACAAAGGCTACTGTAATGTCAAAAAAATATATTTCTTCTTAATATCAGGGTCAAGTTTGAAATTCATTTTCAGTTGCCTTATCCACAAACCCAAAGAGGGAGGGAGGGAGGGAGGTGTGTGTGTGTGTGTGTGTGTGTGTGTGTGTGTGTGTGTGTGTGTGTGTGTGTGTGTGTGCGTGTGTGTGTGTGTGTGTGTGTGTGTTTGCGTGTGCATGTGTGTGTGTGTCCAAGTCATTTGGTTAAAGGAATTGTTTGCAATATCAACCCACCTTTTCTAATAAATTACAGTACCCTGAATATGTCCATAACTCTAATGCCTCCTGCAACCAACATCCAGTGAGGTGTTACAAAAGCTCACACCTAAATGAGTGAAGGTTATCCTGTAACCTGAGAAGGAAGTCACCATGATCCAAAGCTCATACAGTAATAAGCAGAACAAATATCTTCATGGAAACAGTAGAAGTCATAAATCAGGAAGCTACTGTACGTGAAAGAGAATCATTGAGCTCACGATTTCTCAACAAACAATTTAAGTGGAGTGACAACAAACTTCATCAAACACAAATCCATCGAAACTTGGGAAAAGAACAATGAAGACTGAACAGGTAAAGGCATTAAAGAGGTGTCAGACAGTTTGGGGCAGGAAAAACCAATTCCTCTTATGTAGCAGAAAAAACACTGCAATATGTAACTTCATTAAACAGCAGAAGCTTCCCTGCATCAGGACACGAGAAGAAATAGATATCTGCCACCAATAGTTCCAATATACTGTAAAGTAACATGAAGGCATCCACTCTAAGGGGATTAAAACAACGGTTGTGGTTCTTTCATCACAAACAAATCCACCAAACCAAAAGATTAACTCCCAGAGAGCAAATGTAACAGGAATCATTATATAACCTCTTTAAATAGAGTATATAATAATTTAACCCTAGAGTTTTGCTTGTTGGTGATGGCGTGAAAGCTCAGTCATAGCATAAAGCATGCTCTGAGGTAGGAAATGATCATGACCAAAAGCATCCATTCAAACTGATATTTCACAAAGCAGCCATATAAGTAACTTTACGAGAGAACACTTCAACAATCTCCACAACTTCAAGGAAGAGAAAAGCCACTGTGGGAAAAGAATATCTTCATCCCAATTTCAAGCTTTAAGAGACAGGTGAAGCCGAACCTAACTTCTCTAATAGATGAGACAAAGGCTCATCACAAAGATTAAACCTTTCTGGGAATCCAACTAAATAATCTTAGTTCAATGTGAACCTTGATCACTTATAACATCTACATAAGGTGAAAGCCCAATTTCATACAGAAATATGCATGGTAAAAAATAGCCTTCAGCAAATGAGTATACCAAGAAGTTCTCTATCAGCCAATAATTAACATAAGACAATAAAAGGATCTCTTTATGCATGGAATCCCAAGACAGTTTTGTGACAAAATGAAAATTTTTAATTTCATGTATCTCTTTTTTAAGCAACGATTAATTTGTTTCTAAAATTCTAAGAATAAGAACATACTAATAAGCATCTTACACATCAATGGACATAAATCACTTCCTTTACTTAAGGTGTACAGTAAGTCATTTGAAGCAGACATCACCATAAATCATTAAACCATCCTAGTCAAGATTCTGATCTCTCCTATTAGGAGTTGAAGTCATTATAATATTTTTCTGCCTGGATTCAGTAAAACAATAACAAAACACACAGATCTGACTTTGTAACTGTCAGAATATATTATAGTGTACTGTATTACACATCAAAGAACCCTCTCATTCCTAGTCCCTATCAGCTTCAAACATTAAACAAATGTATTAATCAAAAAGACCCTAACAAAAGAGCTCACCATCTTGTGAGAACTATTAACACTTTGCTGTCACTAAAACTCAGCCCCCCCCCCCAAACCCCATTGCTGTAGGACATTGATTCATTCCTTCAGTCATGAGACTTAAATGAGTGTGATATGCTTGCCTGATCCACCAACTTAAATGACTAATGCATAAGCAAAGCCTCTGTCCACTACAATTCACAAAGGTACCTCAGATTACTGGCTAGACTACGAGGTATTCATGTATCACCCAGACCATAATTAAACTGGTGTCCAACCCAACCAATCTAAGCACGATGTAGACCCCCAGTCATAGGTTCACAAATATTTAGACTATCAAAATCCAAAATGTGATCATGCAGAATCCCAAGAAGAATGGGTTGTCCACAAGTCCCAGACCAGTAGCCAACCCATGGTTATACTACACCCACAAGCCAGCTCAAGTCAGGACTAACTCATACTGGTACAAGGCCCAGCCCTCACATGGCAAAAGCCACAATTAGCACAGACAGTCAGAGCTACATGCAAGTGATGTATGTGTTACAGGGCAAGTTTGCCACTCGTGCATATTTACTGTAATTACCTGGACTCGGAAGTCAGTATTTTTTTTAGACAAGCCTTATGGAACAATGAAAGACCTAGTTCTGACCTTACTTGGATTACAACTATGGTAATACCAAGTAATTATCCTTGGGGTTTCAAAAAAGGCTAGTAACTTAGCCATTGTAATAAATAAGCAGTTAGGGGAAAATCCATCTGATACAGCCAGTCTTGATGACAGCCAGCTGGAAACTAAATACAGTATCAATACAGTACCTGTATAGTGGATTGAGCCTGGCACCAAAAACAGTGGATAGGAGTCTGGTGATAAAGTGTGAGAATTGAACAAACATGGCTGTACATGGCCTCTACCCCTAGCCTGATGAAGGCAACTGACATACCTCATCTCCCCCATTTATGGGAGGTGGGTGTGACCAGAAGGAAGCGTGATTGGTACAGTGTACTGTACACAATATGGGTGCACTAATTAATCCTGGCTGCCACTATGAACATGTCAATCCCTAAATAGAGTGTATTATGAGAGAAGCCCTATATTTACACGTGCTTCACAACACATCATGGTTATTCTTGAATTTTCCATCACGAACATACAGTAAACCTACTTTTCTGTTGACCAAAGCAAGAGCAACTTTTTTTCAAGGCCTGAAGTACTGACATCCTAGCAGGTACATTAACATTATGTCATGTGGAAGCAAGTTAATAATGAGACATCATGTGGTTAATATTTTTAACACAAAAAAAGTAACATTGTATTAATCATATCAAACATGCAGCATATTCCCTATGACTCTCCAATACATCCACCAAGAAAAACTTCCTATCTTGATCCTGTTTTGACTAAAAAGACAGAGCTGGATACTTTTAATACCCTACCCCTTTTCAGTAAATAATTAAATAGAGTGCAAAAATCCTGACATATATTTCCAGCAAGATAATTATCCAGTTCGTATAAAAATCATCACAGGGTTGTCATTATAATAATTAGCCATCTGTTTTTTGTGTGCAGTAGTAGCGCAATGATCGAGTGGATGCAGCATTCGCTTCCTTTCCCAAGGGTCAGTGGTTAATTCCAGGGCACTCCCAGTCACCCAGCTATAAATGGGTACCTAAGTTTACAACTTGAGGAAGTGAATGTAGTTGAGTGCAGCACTGGCCATGCTGTCTCCTTGTGTACCGAAGGCTTACCAAACAGTGTGCTCTATCCACATTGTCCCCAACATGAATTCATGCCTTAGTACACATTTTAACAACACAACTTAGGCAAGGTATTTGTCATATCTAAGACAAAATACATTATTTTTGACAATTCCCTATCATTTAATCTTAAAAAAAAAAAAATTATTTTACATTACTGTATATAATTTCCACAGAAGAAATACAACATCCTGTACGGTATACAGGTAAAGTGTTGTCCCCTTTACTCTCATATAAATAAATTTATTTATGTTCCAAGATGTAATGTAAGAACTGTCATCAAGTATTAAAATGGTTTATCTACTAATGCCAACACTGATAATTGTGGAAATGCCAGACAAAGGAGATCTGGTCTAAACTATGCTCGCTAGCTGAAATGAAAAACACCGTACAGTGTGCAGCAAATATATTTACAGTATGATAATTTGTCAATACCGTACTGTAATGGCAAAAGGTTGATGGTGAGTGTGGTCCACTTCCCAGGTTTAGTGATCCGACCTATCTTAAGGGTATAATTATACTATATGCTCAACTCGTTCACTTGGTTGTGCAGTCAAAAATTGTTGTTGTTTTACCATTTTCAAGATTTCTCAACATGTTTTAAATTTCTGTTAGTATGAACATTAATCTTTGACTTCTTCATGAAGGGTTCTTTTCTTGTTGATGACCTTGAAGGATGCCTTGGGGGACCCATATCAATGGCAAATAAACAAAATCAAGTCCAATTCTTTGGTAACTAAACATTCCTGAGAAATTAAATTCTTTAACAAATTAACTGAAATACTCCAAATAGAAAATGAAGTACGTAACAGCCCAGATGATAGAATTTGAGTAATCTATGAAAATGTCAATGCCTGCACTAAATGTGATATATTATAGAATTAATGAATCACAATACGAATCATTGGACTTCACATAACTTGACGCTTCACCTGCACACAGTACAGTACAAAACTTCAATCACAATACACTATTTACTTGATTCAATATTTTCTTCTGATTTGTATTTTAGACTTCAGTGTCATAGATCACCCTCAACTGTGTGGAGTTCAGTTATACTGTACTGTTCAACAACCATAATTTACAGAATTTTCTAAATTGATCCTACTGAAAAATGCAAATAAGCTCCCATGTCAACAAAAAGGAAATATGGTCGTCTCTCCTCATTAAGGATTCAAAAGTTAACACGTTCCATTTCTTCTTAAACACCGTACCCACTTAAAAGACAACTCAACGGGAATAATGCTGCATGCTACATATTTTCTCTATTCACATTTTGTTAGATTACATCTTCACATTTTATATAAAGATCAAATAGGTAACATTTTCATGTTTCATAAATCATAACACAGTACTGTACAGTAGTAAGCCACATAATGTCTCAGAAATACACAATGGATGGAACACTCACCATCTGGGGTGGCCGTGATGCATCTCCAGTAAAGCCTTCCATAGGAAAGCTTTGGAGACTTCCATCTCCCTCCCAAAGGGAAACTGAGTTCTGAAGATAAAAAACAAACAAATATATTTATAAATATTTATCATAAGACCACTATATTCCAAAACTCCAGTATATTTAAAAAAAAAAAAAAAAACTTGTACTGCAATTATAAATACATCCTTAAATCTAAATATTATTGTTATAATCTATTAAAATTATTTGTCACTGCTGTAAAACTTGCTTCAAATTTGCCTGATGGCAACTGGGACACCATGCCGCCATCAGGTAATCACAGCTAACTCATGCAAGTGTGGAAAATGGCCATAAATGGTGATAGTGATGACTGTCTACATTCAGTACAAGGTAATTTTTTTCTTCAACAATGACTAATTGCTTCTAAAGTGACTCAATACTGTACAGGTATTTCCACGTTGCAAACATTTACGTTATGGAAATACGTTCTTACCCAAATCACAAATTATGACCACCAAATTCAGGATACAAAATGAAAATTCACCCTCATGGAAATGGTTATTTTTCCAATTTTTTTTACTAAAATCTACTTATAAAATTAAATATAAATATTGTATGGATTTCAAAACACTTTTGTTGACCAGCAAGCATATCAGTCTTTGTTTACAGGTGTGTGTAAAGTGCAATCCTTACTCTCTCTCAATTACTAAAAATCCATTTTTTTTTATGATCTTTAGGTTCAGATTTTGTACCAGTTTATGGGGTTTCAAACTGATGTGATAACACTTGTGTTTGAAAAATGTAATGCATCATGTGTTTAACAGAGTTTCTCTCCACCCTTTAACTCTGAATATTTGTTGCAATACATTTCTGGTGAGTTAAGTTCAAGTCTCTATTAAAAACCTATACATAATTCGCCTTGAGCTTGAACAACTGCTTCCCAGATTGTAGTTGCTCAGACTCAAGGTGACTTAGGGTGCCACAAAATTTACAGGTGCCATGAATCGTGGGCGTAGATGCTACTGGTCTCTTCCAACAGAAGACACGCCCGCTTGTGCTACTTTACGTTTTCATCAGACGATTGATTGTATTTGTTTGATGTTTATTCAATAAACCTTTAAAAATATACAGCGGTCCCTCGGTTAACGAATTACCTTCCATAAGAATCTTCAATTCGGTTAACGAACAAAAATTCGATTTACGAAATCCTTTCGAAAATCACGTTTTGTTGTGAGCATCAGCTGATCAGTTGATGGCCCAGTCTGCCAATTCAGTAATCTGTTCTGTTTAAATTCACTTCCAATTCAGTAAATATCAATAAAGTTGGGCTTTTTAATATTTTTTAATGTTTTATATTAAAATTATTAGTCATTTTAACATTAAATATTGATATATGCAGTACAGGGTACTGAAATCACGTGTTGTTGTTTTGAGCATCAGCTGTTCAGTACTCAGCCAATTCAGTAATCTGTTCTGTTTAAATCCGGTTCCAGTGGAGTAAATATCAAGAAAGTTAAGCTCTTAAATATTTTTTAATGTTTTATATTAAAATTATTAGTCATTTTAACATTTATTTAACATATTGATATTATATGCAGTACTCCCTGTACAGGTTCAGTCTGGCTTTGTTTACTGTCGAGAGAGCAGCCATTTTGTTGGTGTCTTGAATATTTTTGCATTTTTCATTGAAATTATTGGTCATTCTGAACTTTAGTTAACATATTGATAATATATAGCACAGTGCAGAGTTGATTTAAATAAAATAATCTTGAATTACACCAAGTGAACTTAAAATTTTATTGGTGAAATGAGGCATCAAGCATGGGGTGAATTCTCTTCCATCCCCACTTCCTTCTCTTCTCCCTTCTCCTCCACCCCCACTTCTAATTCCCATCATCATCATCATCAACCAGGAACCTTCTACATACACACCTCAAAGTAAGTGTACTTTACTGCATTTTTTTTTTACTTTGAATGTACTTTTGGTGAGCTGGAACCAATTACCCAATATCCCATTGAAACAATGGATTCGGTTAACGAACGACTGTGGAACGAATTGTGTTCGTTAACCGAGGGACCACTGTATATAATGAAACTTAATAAAATTCTATAATGCTTTTTAAATTAACTAAATCAATGACATTTAAATTATTGTACAATAATAACCCACCAGAGAATGATTTGACAGCAAGAGTTGCGAACTACTGGACAGTAATAACCTACCAGAGAATGTTGTTACACTTTGCTCAACATTCAAATGCCTTTATTTTCATATTTAACAAAATATTTTCTCTGTTTCTTTTTATCAGCATTCAGTCTTGTTACTTTATGGTTGCTTTGCTTTCCCGGTGATGATGAATACTTAGAATAAATCAAGAAACAGAAAATAGTCAGTAGTCAGGTAGTAGGCAGCTACCAAACAGGGAGGTACTACCGCCTGGGAAGATATTGGAAGCATAATGTGTTATCTAATGGTAGACCCTGCTGCCATATGGCATCGCAAAAATTGTGACCAAGTCCCAGGTTGCTGATTTGACTTTCTGCCTCATTTGCACACAATTGCAGGGTCTCAATTGTTTCTCTTGCTATTGACAACACAACATACATATATCGTTTCTCACTAATGATCATTTTTTTAATTTCTTTATGGTTCCATATTATTATTAGTATTATTGCTGCAGTGTTTACAGTATTATTATCATTATTATTTTATTTTTATTTTTGTATTTTTTATTATAAATTTTACTTATCTGAATTATTATTATTACATCCCGGCCCTGATGTGGGTCAGTGACCTGTGTCCGGGTGGGCTAATACCCGTAAAAAAAAAAAAAATAATAATAATAATAATATGCATGAACGGTTTAAAAAGCTTTACTTTCATCTAAAATCTGTTTTTATTGTCCTCTAGCAGAAATTTTTTCCATAGGAACGCATCTCCAATTATATAATACTGTACAGTACAGCAAAGACCCAGAGTGCCGGATTCCTGAGTGATGACACGTCTGAACAACGGCACAATTCTTGGAAAAAATTAAAATTATTCAAAATTTTTGAAAAAATTTTCTTTGCAAGCCATTTGGTTTTGTTGTGGAGCAAGTTTGCAGGACCACATGGTCCTGCAAACTTGGATCACAACATATGGGTGATGCCATGAGTAGACGAGTTGTTTTAATGTTACTATTGTACTGCGTTTCAACAAATATGGTCATTAAGCACATAACAAGGTTAGTAATTACACTATTACATCAACAATAAAAATTAATGATAGAATTCTCTGGGACAACTTCAGTCTGCCAGCTGACTTGAGAAACACGTTGCCGATACGTTGTGTATGGGGCAACAGCGTGACGCGCCCATATATACGTTCACCACCATAGAATACTGTTTACACTCATTCTCTTCATTTTTCACAATTGTATACAGGTATTATATTTACTGTATTTATTTCTAAGCCATATTAGAGCAATTAATGATTTTCCCACAATTTTCTGTTTTCATTACAAGAAACAATGGCAACATAACCATATCAAGACCGAAGTGTGTGTGTGTGTGTGTGTTGGGGATGTTCAGAAAAACGGCACTTATAGTCCAACATTTTATACAGTAGGGTCGGGATAGAACACGACTTTATCTTTTTTTATATCACAGCTACCAAAATTATTGAAATTTTCCTATATATAGTGATAATTTCTTTTATTTCGCAAGGGAAATCGGGCAGGAAATATTTCAAATGTACCGCCATGGCAAACAAATGCATTATTTGCTCACCAGAGGCGCCACTGTGGCTGCTCACTCACGCTCGCCTGCTCAGTCTTTCTGAGTGAGTGACGAGAAAGCAGCTGACTGTTGCAGATTACGACTTCTGCGGTGAGTTTAAATGAGTTGTTAGTGACGTGAAAAGTGAAGTGAAGAAAATACAAAGCTTAATGGAAAAGATTTAATACTGTAAATAATAATATTTTTGGTTTGTTCGTTTATGTAGGTGTGGGATTGTCAAGTGTAGCGTCTACTGCAGAGTCTGGTGTTCCCAGGATGGTGCATCAGCTGCCGAATCTGGTGTTCCTTGATATTGACACAGTAAAGCCTCCGATAAAAACGAAAACGGTTCAACTAACAAAGATTCATATCTAAGACCTTGGTTAATTTAGGACCCAATTCAATTTGTCATTATTTTCTTCGCATTTAAGACGAGGAAAAAAAAAATTACATTTTCGTTTAAATACTAACTAAATCCTGTTATTAAAAAATAATTCCTTACGCACGGAGGCTACCGGGCTTGTTAGTGGTGACGCCAGCATCACGAGCATAAACAATCGCAGCTGGCGGGCCCTTGTTTTCACGCATCTGAGCAAGAGAGCAAGTGTTGGTAGTGTTGTTTCAAAAGTTAATAGAAAGTGTATAAGCTTAGCCGAGAAACTAGATGTGTTAAAACGATTTGAAAAAGGCGAGAGGTCTATATTATATGGAGTAAGCAATGAACACATTTTCTGAAGTGGCTCCATTAACAGAACAAAGCATTAAAATATAAATAAACGCAAATGACCTCTACATAAAGATGTATAATGAGAAAAGAGAGCAGCTGTGCAAGGTTTTTTTGACAGCTTTATTGTTCAAAGGCCTAAACCATCAACTTCAGCTACACCATCAAATTCAGCATTATAAGCAGCTTTAATAACAACTGCAGGTTCAGTAACAGTTTCAACAACAGCTTTATGGAAAGCTACAGCTTCAGCCAGAGTTGAACCTGATGACTTCGTCATCTGAGTAAAAACTCGCACAATATTCATTATACACTACGATAATATTTAATAAGCTCTGATAAATATGATACAACATTATTTACCACGTGCTGAAGACACAATAGCCCATCTGGGATTGAGTCTCGTTTTTTAGAATTTTTTTTTATTAACCCGGCACCAAATGAACCAAAATAATGTGGGAATTACTGTGAAATTGCATACTGTCATTATAAAAGGACAGATGGCTGACAAGCGCGGAAGAGTTATCCCCTCCTTCCCTCCTCTCTACGGCTAATTCACACTCAAAACATAGTTTTACATTTTTCTTTTCACTCCATTTCTTTACATGCAAACCCTCCACTATATAACAGCTGTATAAAGTTGTCTAAACTTCCATTTTTTGGTTTACTAACACTTGTGTGATTTAAATGTCCGCAATAGAACGGGAGGTCAAACTGACTGCTGCTCTCAGATACACTCCATCTCCTACAGAGAATATGCTCCCACTCTCTTAATTGTTCTATTATATCTACAGTATATAGTATTTTCTTTATTCATAAGGCACACTTACATATAACAATGGAACTTACGCTCAGTCGTGTGAGAGGTAACTGACGTATTTTGGCTTGGTAGAAGCTTAACACTTCTAGGGTACTTTTATTACCTATTATGGTCATTTTTATATTACATTACATGTTTTTCAACTTATTATGCAGCATATTAGGATATACACTCTCAGTATAAAACAGTGAATGATGCAGACGATGTACATATTAAACAAATGATGTACTGTATAATGAAAATTTCTTCCTTTGTATAATATGACTTAGGAAAAAAAAAAGGATGTGTAAAAAGTATTCTGTGGGAGGTGAACGTTTGCAAGAATGTGTCATGCTGTCTCCCCAATGTCAAGTCACAGCATACACAGCATACCAGCCACACATCTCTCAAGTCAGCTGGGTGACTGCTGGGCTGAATATGTCCACTCCTGGCATCACCCATACGATGGGCCAAGGGCGGAAGGAGCTATTTTTTTTACATAAAATATGTGACATTGTACTTTATGATGTGCAATGTCTCATTTTTCTTACTTATTATAGCAGTTCTTGTTCATTTTTGGTATATGTAAAATACAACATAATGAGAAAATGAAACCCTTTTACTCATTGTTAAATCTACCTATGACAACAAAGTTCCAGAGAATGAAAGGAATTTTGTAAGCATATCCACTTCATTGTCAGAGGTATACTGTACACATCTAAATACCTAACACTACACAAGGCCATCTGTGCCACATACAAATGTCCATTGGGAATAGAAAACCTTCAAGAATATTTTTCCTGCCCTGAAAGCTTCTAGAATCTAGAACCTTACCTACATGACCACATCTATTAATACTTTAAATGAAGAACAAGCGAGTTTACTGAAAGTAAATTATAAGTACAGTATGATAATTGAATTAATTTATTATAAGCTTAAATAAGCCAATTGGTGTAATATTTTGGCTGTTGTTTTGAACAGTTGTGCCTCCCTGCTGTTAGCAGATCTGAATAACGGATTCCATCTCAGTGGTTTAATTAGTCCAGTACTTGGGGTCTTTATTGTATACTATATTGGGTTTCAATGAGAAAATTGGTTTAGCATTGCGGAATTTCACGATACGGAAAATTTGTCGAGAATGCATCCCTTCCACAATGCAGGGGTTGCCTGTACAGTACTGTACTTCCATCTACAAATCAATAATGATTTAGCCTTTTTCCACAACTCTCTCAAGCCTTTCCTTGCTATGATACAGTGTGGCGTGAATCGAGAGCACATAGCTACACACTCTCGTATCCTTCCACTTATTGTCACTCATTCATCCTCATCTTCGGAAACAAAAAGTGGTTCACACAACCAAATACCACCCATCAGTGGCAGATCTAACTATAAACCATATCATCATACTCTTCATACGTAGTAGGCAGCTATCAAACAGGGAAAGATATTGGAAGCATAATGTGTTGTCTAATGGTAAACCCTCCTGCCATATGGCATTAAAAAAATTGTGACCAAGTCCCAGGTTGCTGAACCTGACTGACTTTCTACCTCAATTACACCCAATTGCAGGGTCTCAATAGTTTTCTTACTTTAACAATACAACAGTATATTGTTTCTCTCTTGATTTTTTTATTTATTTCTTATTCTCTGCACATGATTTCAGTTGCTTTCTAAATACTGTATACACCTGCTCTTGTTTCTGAGGACCACACATCACACCTGTGTAGTAACAATAATTCCTTTAAATGTCCCTATCTAGCCTCGTTTAACAAACTGAAACTTCTCCCTTAACACATTTCTCAACATACTTAAGACTTTCTTACCCTCATCACACACATAAGCTGGTCAAAATATTACATTACTGTACTGTACAAGTTAAAATAAAATTCAGTGAAATCCATGGACTTAGGTACTAAATATCCTAAACAACTTCTAGACCAATTAGCATCACTGTTTATGGCCAATTCCCAAGCAGCTTGAATAAATTTGATTTGATGCAATTAATTACCTGATGCCATGGTGTCCAGGTTGCCAGAAGACAAATGTTAGGAATCTTTTAGGACTAGATGACCTTCCTCTTACCAACCCACTTTTACAGAATGGGAACTGGGCATCTCCTTTATATCTATTCTTGCTGTCTACTCCCCTTTTCTTTCCTTAGTGTAATGTTCTAAACTCCCCTCCCCTCCCCTCCCACAAAGTACAGGGTACTGTAGATTGTTTACCTCTACCTGATGTATCTGCTACATTGCCTCTATACAGTACACTATTATATTTTCCATCCACACCACCTCAGCGTACTGTAAATACTCGTATATTTAGGTGAGGACTTTGGCTTCAGAAACAACTCATTAAGTTTCTTAGAAATGACAACCAATTTACCTTGACCCTCTTGTGCATGCAATAAGTTATTAAGTTTGCGTGACCACGACAAAGTCACATGGGACCACTTACATGACATCTGGTACCTTCACTATGCAGCCAATTTATCCCACAAGAATTTGGTCGTGATGGTGGTGGGTGGGAGGGGAAGGCGGAGAGATGATTTATACATCTTGGGCTTTGTAATTGTTTTGAATTTGACATAATTAGGAAAAATAAGAAAAATAAGAGAAAACGACTATTATTTTCATTACAAATTTAGAAAAACAAAATTATTTGGTGCCAGCATCATATCTCAGATACTGTATTTTCTCAAAACCTACCAAGTCTACCTACTAAGTGTTAAAGAAGCAGAATTATATGAGCTTTCCATCTGTGGCTTTGGAATTTTGATATTACTAATAGTGGGGAAGGTGGGAGAGGAGATAAAGGGGCAAACGTGACCCACCAGCACGGCTGACGGGAGGAAATTCATGGACAACGGAACTCCACCCTTGCTTTGGTACTGTACTTTCTGCAAGCTTTCCTCACAAGATCATGTCTCTTGCAAACATTTGATGCAATTATCTTGATTTGGAGGGGAGGGAGGGTTGCAAAATTTAAAAAACTCAACGGCACAATTGGCATCACCAATGCACAAAGGTTGAGAATTTACCTTCCTGACAAGCTCAAACTTCACCTGCAATATAAAGTACCATTAACTGTAGCTACTGGAATATATCTAAATACTCACCCCCTGTAAACCAGAGGAGCCTGGAATGGCTTGAGCAACTAGATCTTCCATAGACTGAGGTTGTGAGGCAAGCATCTGAGGATCAAACCCCTGAGGCCCCCCACTTCCTCCTCCTGGATCAGTACGAGAATCACCTTCATTAAGAGGATCAAATGAAAATTGAGATTCTAAAATCTCCTTTGTTTCCGTTACTTCTTCTTCTTCAACATCTTGAGGCTCTTCTTTGACACCAGGCTCATCTAAAATAACCTGAAAAAAGGCAGAAACTTATAAAGGTGCAATTGGCTGCAGGAAAATTTAACTAAAAATATGATATGGAAACCTTTTACCCATTTACTAAACACAATTAAATAATAATACAGTATGCCCCCCAAGTTCGCAGATTTTTACTCCGCGGTTCTCGGATGACACTCTGGATGTATCCAAGAATGTCTGTGCATAGTTTTAAGTTCCCAGCATTTTTGCAGCTGGAACAGGGAGCCATTCATTCTAGAGAGTAATTTCCTTTACCTGTATTTTAAATGTGTGTGTGTGTACACACACAAAACACACAAATAAATAGTAATTGGAAAAATCCTCTCAAATAATCAACATTTTTTTTTATTAAAAATAGAGCACGGACTTGAGGGTGGACTAGCACATTCTTAATAAATTTGTTTCTGATTATTTGTGCAAGGATTTTCCAATTATTATTTACTTTTATGTGTTTTGTATGTGTGTGTCTACACACACATACTACAGGTAAAAGAAATAATTTTCCTGAGGGCAAACACGAAGGGAATATACATTTCTTTGTACACACGTAAAAATGTACACCCCCCCCCCCTTCCATACGTTATTCGCAGCCACTTTGAGAACCTAACCCCCGCGAATTTGGGGGGCCAGCCGTAATAATAATCTATCTACTGATATATCTCATAAATGAAGCCTTATCCTAAAATTCTTATATAATGTACATAGCAAGGCCCATGGGCAGGCAGCTATTATTAAAGCACAAGCTGTTTTGGCAACTACCTCCCTGAACCCATTAAAACAAGGGGTAGAGTGCACCATATTAAAGAACATACAAATGATAACATATATCAGGTGGTGATATGCCCCAAGAGCTAAAGGATTAAAAAGGGCGGATTGCATCAAGTTCCCCTGAAGGTAAACATGTCTACCTAACCAGTACATGCACCACATCAACTAAAGCCAACATCTTGATTTGTCAATTGTCCATTTTGGATTTGATTTCAAGCTGACTACCCAAGGGAGGATGATGGATGGGTGAGTGCATGGCCTGGCTATGGGCTCAGCTAGATAAGAGGATTTCAAATGGCTCCTCTTAACAGCCAGCCAGCCAGCTATGTAACGGGAGGTGGTGGTGCTGTATTAATACTCCATTAGGATTTTACAATTTTCTAGATTTTCTGGATAGTTTATTCAGTTTTATTGATTTTAATTAAATAACTCTAAAAAGGTATACAATAGTGTGAAGCCCATTAGGAGTAGGGGCCAAGTGGGACAAATCCTAATGAGACCCAATTTTAATGAAAAACAATAACAGAGTTCTCATCTTTAACAAGTTTTGCCCTGTATCAAAGGGCACCAATTTCAGCTGTAGTGTTTACATCACCAAAGGTAAAATTATCCCAAGTGTTCATAACAGTGATGTCTTTTTTTAACATTATACTGAATTGGAAATGTAGTCAACTGCAAACAATAAGACTAGTTTGCTGATCAATAGTACTGTACCTACTTTGAAAAATAATAAAATTTGCATTGACTTCACTTGCAACCAAATCTATGAAGCCATTTTCATTTAACCCAATATATATATCAGTGAAGGAAAAAAAACCTATATTTGTTCATATTTGTCATGTTTAATAAGGAGACTCATACAATAACTATGTTTAGTACAATTATCTCATTTGTTATTCCTTTAGGGCAAAAGTGTTCACACTAGAATTAGCTATACTGTATGTCAGATGAAAAAATTAGACATGAAACTAATTTTATTGAAGACAATATTGTACATAAATTTATTTTCAATCTGACTGAACTTTGGTATACATTATTTTACATAAATAATTTAAAATCTACTGGTGTAAAATCTATAAAAGAACAGAAATGAGTGAGGTCAAGATGAGTATACACCCACTCCATCCAACCAGTAAAGGCAAGACACTAACAACGGCAGCTGATTCATCACAACGATGCATTTGCCACATTTTGTCGTAGGATAAAACGGTAAATTGTAAAATTTTAGATGTATCAAGTGATACACACACACACAATGCACACTACAAAACATTTAATTTATACAGCAGAAGGTTTAGAAAATGGTAAGAAAACTGAAAAGAAAGTAGTTCATGGAAGGTCATCTTGAACCCTATTCCATTTATCATGGTGCTAGAGGTACTATCCCGAGGTGTTGAGACAGATCTTAACTGGGATTGGTGTATGCTGATGGCAAATAGGACCGAGGGAGAAATTTAAGTAGTGGAAGGATGGACTAGTTAATGGGTATGAGAAAATATGTGGCATAAACAAATTGAAGTGCTTGTCAGGCTGAGTATTGTTATCCGAGCTATTTATGTCAGCAGTACTTGCACATAAGGATACTCCTTGTACCCCTAATAAAATGATGAAACCCATGGAGGGAAAGGGGGGGGGGGGTGTGCGTGTAAGACCTTTTCCCTAAACGAATCCACAAGACTTGTAGTATCAGGTTAGCTTGAAAGTTCTTATATTAAATAGCTGGGGTAATTGGCTATGCAAACTCTGCCAATACGAAAGCAATGATTTGTAGCTTAGGTGAAAAACCTGTGGTTGAAAATGAAAATGGCCAGGTACTATCTGTATAAAAGGTGTTAGTAGCAACCCAATAATTTACAGCAACTGGAAGGTGCGCACAAAAGAGGTGCAGTCAAGTATATGGCACACTGCAAGATGTAGCTGACTTACAAGTTTCCTGTGTGTGTGTGTGTTTGTGTGTGCATGTGAAGGAAATTGTGTGATCTTAGTAAACCTGGAAAAGACCACTTGGCCTACAGTACATCAACTGATCAGAGCAAGTACAGTCAAAAGCCTAAATGCTGAAGCCAGTAAACCTGCTGACAGTGACAGAGACTTGAAACTGCAGATAGACAGCATGTCAATATCACCTGAATGATGGAATCAAGAACTGCAATAAACCCAAGGCTGCATCAAAATGGTGGAATAATCTAAATTCAAGAGGGTTGTCATAAATAACATGGTACATTTACTAGCTAGATAGACATAGCTGACTTGATAGGCTGACTTGATAGGGCAAACTTTGCTTCCAATCCATCCTATTTAGGGATATATATACAATGACAAAGAAGGGTGACAAGAGCAGTCACTTAGGGGGTAGTCTACAATCCTAGACCCTCCAAAACAGCTTGTGCATAAACAGAAACCACCTCACAAGAGCATTAAGCTAAGAAATTAGAACTAAATTTGTAAGACACATCACAAAAATACATGAAAACAACTGTACAGGGTACTTGAAAATAAAATTCTGGGTAGTGGGGAGACCAGGAAGCCAATGGTAAATTTTTTCATTAAAGCCCCACTAAACTCTCACTACCAAGGATTGGCATAACAAATTATATTCTTACCTCAGGTACAGCCTGTTGTGACTGACTAGATGCATGTTCACTCCCCCGATGCTTTGGATCCTGTGCATTGGGGAGATTGGAGTGTTCATTGCCTTCACTGTGACTTTGACTACAATCCTCTGACACTGATTCAGAGGCACTTCCAACGGATGGGGAAGGAGAGATGGGCGTGGGAGCAGTTCTCGATGCAGCAGGGGAAGGAGTTGGGATGGAGGCACTAGCTGACTGTCTTTGGGTTTGATGTGAGCTGACTGTTGCAGATTCCCTACTTTCTCTCTGTTGGCTCTGAGAAGGCAGCGGTCTAGGTTCCTCATCTCTTTTTCTTCTTTTAGCCAAGGGACTATCTTCTCTACAACCAGAACTTCTTTTACTTTCTTTACTATCTTTAGAAGGAGCTTCATCAGGTACTGCAAGGCCTTTTATCATTAAACACTCAGCTGCTTTTATTAGTCCAGCTAGTTCATTCTGTAATACATTCACTTCACCTACATACATATAGTTCAAGAGGGCCTCTAACTCTTCATGTCTAATATCTTTTAACACTATTATTGGATGTTTACAGTTTGTCCGTTCAAACATCTGTTCAAAGTAATCACTACATGTTGATAAAACCAGTTTGTGGACTGGGTAGAATTTTCCATCACAGGCAATAGTCACATCACAATAGGATTCCTGAAAATATAAAACATAAATTACACATCACATATTATTCCTAACATTTGCTCACTATATATATATATATATATGTATATGTATATGTATATATATATATATATATATATATATATATATATATATATATATATATATATATATATATATATATATATATATATATATATATATATATATATATATATATATATATATATATATATATATATATATATATATATATATATATATATATATATATATATATATATATATAATATATATATATATATGTAAGTAATTTATTGGTATTATTTTTATTTATTCCTCACATTTACTGGTACTCTATATATTATTTAAAGAAAACTATGGCTACAGGAGAAAAATACACAGAGAAGTTTTTCCTAAATAAACCCTGCTGAAATTGGGTGTGTGTCATATATGGCCATGCATCTTTTATGTCATTATCTCCCCAGCCATATGCTCCTATTTCCTCCCACCCCCCCAAGCCAAGCACGTAGAGTTGCGCTAAGTTAAACGTGTGAAGATGAAACACGCCTGTATACTGATAACAAGCAAAACTGATAATAACCTTCTAAGACTAACGAGTCAAGATTAGACAATAGCCACAATATTAAAGTTCTAACTTCTAGATCAACATACACAACTACATACAGTGGAGTATGCTATAACGAACGGATTCTACTACGAATATTCCTATAAAATTGAGAATGCTATAACGAACGAAACTCCTACAACGAATTTTTTTTTTATTACAAGTATTAATGATATTCTTTATTTCAGGAGTTTAGATGCATATTTATGCACTTTTTTTACAATTTTTACAATTTTATATTATATTTTTCAGTGTTAAGTGGTTGTATTGGGGGCCTGGAACGGATTAATCCTATAACGAACAAGGTTCTAGAACCAATTAGATTCGTTATAGCATACCCCACTGTATAAATTAATCACAAGTTGGCAACTGTACAACTCACAAGTGTGGACTGAGGAACAGAGTCGTCAACTTAAGTGCTTAGTGCTATTAGTAACAGAAGAGTTTTAATTACTAGCCAAGTTAGTAACATATCCATAGATGGATAGCCTACTAGAAAGTATCGGTCTCGGCTTTAGGATGAGTATCGTATCAACCAGAACTTTGGTATCGGCACATCTCTAAATTCCAAGTCCTTTATTATCTTAAGAATATAACCAGTTCACAAACTGCAATTATCGATCTGATAAACTTCTATTGAAAGTGCTTATCATTCTATTTATTACAGTATCATATACTGTATATAGTAGTATACTACACTACTGAAGCCCATCACATTCTTCCTGCTAAAACTGAGCAAATTACAATTATTGCTCTTCACAACTAGGTAGGCCCTGATTTTTACTTACTAAAATTACCTGTGCAGTACAGTGCTGTATAAAGACGTTCAGCATTTATATTTACCTTGCTCCTTATAGTGGAGAGGACATGGAAGAAAGTGCTTCGGTGGTTGTTCCACTTCAACGATAACAACCCACTGGCCATGGTTGTGTCTGAGGAGAAAATATTTCATACAATTAAATTATGTACATCCATTGAACACATTGTTATATTTCTTCTCTTCAAAAGCCTTTCAAAAATACAGCACAAATCATAAAATTTACATACTCAATAGGACAATCTCTACAAACAAGCAACTCTTTCATTGGAAGTAATCTTGTACAAATCAATCATTTTGCTAACAGGTACAAGTATTACAATATAGTACAGTATACAGTAGTGCCAAACTTTATGGAAATTTAAAACAGAGCAAGGAATATTTCTAAAGGGACATACACTACTATACAGTACAGCAATCAATCCATATAAGGGAATATAGCATGCAGGCCAATTCCAAAAGTGAAGATTCCACTACAGTATACTGAATACCTCCAGTTATACCTATGGCAATGAGGAAGAAAAAGAAGTTTGATCTAGACTCTGTTAGAAAATTTTATTTATCAATCAATCCTCCATCCTTAACCTCAGTCAGGATCTTACAACTTTCACCAATACCAAAGCCAGCTAAGAAAGAGGTCAGACCAATAATAAGAAACAAAGGAAAAACTGGCAACTGTCCCATTTTTCAAACCTTTGCAGGATGACTCACCAAGCTGTCACCCTAGACTCTCCTTATGATAGATCAATCCTAAGGTCTTGAGGCCCTTTCGTGCAACTACAAAAACACTTTGCAAGTTCATCATAAAACTATGACTGAAGACAAGGACACCAGACCTGATGAATCAAAGGAACCAAAAGTGGAATAGGATTTGGACAGCTGAACCAGTAGAGGAAACCAACCAGGAACCACAAAAATAACAGCCACCATCATCTGCTATATAAAAACTTCAAGCTGTATAAAGGTAACTTAGATAAACTTTGTTTCTTAAAACAAATCAAATTGACATGCAATACTGTACTACAGTATGTTTCTTGATTGGGGAGCCATCATAACATGGTGGAAGAGTTCATGACTTTTAGGTCATTAGAAATTTAGGCCTAAAGAAGATTAAGCCACAGGAGTCTTTAAGCTGAAACATATTAGTACTGGCAGGTAAAAATAATACAGTACTGTTTTTTTTTAGACCTTGACAACCTTATAACTAACAGCTCCCTGGTGGTATAAGGTTAGGGATATGTTCCTGGACCATGGAAACTTTACCCCAAAAGATCTACTATTGAAGTACTGTACAAAGTTATATACTGTACAGTAAATGGACACAGTAATACCCCTAGAAATATCTCAGTTTATTTATAAATAGAAAAGGTTTAAGATGCAGGTCCTAACCTTACCCAACTTCCTAGCCGGGGGACGGACCCCCACAATATTAAACAGAAGTACTTACAGCACTTAGATATCTGGTACCAATGACAGTAACTTTCTTGAAGCGACTTGGTGTAATTATACCTTTTTTTTATGTGGACATGAGAGTACGCTTGGAACGAGTGGGTCGGTTGATGCACTGAAACAAAGAGTGCGCGACAACACACGCTGACTCGGCAGATTAATCAGGAATATTTGCAGTACAGTACGCGTAAATAATTCATTTCTTCACACACAAAGCCCGTAGCAAGACCATTTTAATGTCGTATGACCAGTTTTCCGTGTTTTACCCCATAATTTCCCTCATTCTTCATACCCTGCCCACTACAGGTGATTTATGAACAAAAAAATAAAATAAAATAATAAAATAAAAATAAAAAATAATAAAAAAATAAATAAATCCAAGTACAGTACTTATAAAAAGTTGTCTTATCATTTTTATTACTTACTGTGGATAATACTGAGGCAGACGGCTAACACAAGAAGCAGTTGTTCAATTTCGCTCATTTTCCCAATGTTTCTTTTTATGATAGTAATAAAAATTATATAACTTTTAATTTTAATTACTGTACACAATGAACATATATTTTTAATTTTGTTAGTTCTTCTCTATCTACAATCATAAATCAACTGTAGTGGGCAGGGTATGAAGAATGGGGGTTGTGGGGTAAAACCTGATGAAAAACTGATCATATGACACTAAAATGATGCTCTTATGTGCTTTATACACGAAGAAATCAATTATTTACTATAAACATTCAGTCGAAAAATCTGCCTTGCCAACATGTGTTGTTATCTGCTCTTTGTTTACGCTCAGACTGAGCAGGTCGATCGGTTTGAGTGTACTTTCACGTCCACAAACTAAAATTACATCATGCTGCTTCGCGAAAGTTGCTTTTATTGGTACCAGATATCAAAGTACTTTCTGTTTAGAAAGATAGGTAGGTTTTTTCGTTGGTTAGGCCAGGTTCTTGTAATTATTTACGACTTCACAGCCGCTGATTTTTCATAGAAAATTAATTTAAAAATGCAGCAATTTCACTGTTTCATGATGGACACTCGTAGTTATGGCAATTGTGTTAAAAACTTTTTTTCTCAAAAGTTCAAGTTACCATAACCTAGCACAACTTGACATCTGCAGTGGGCGCACTTACTGTCATTGAGACGAGGAAGCGGCAAGCCACAGCAAAGAGGAAGTGATGAATAATTGTTGACTTTGAAGACAAGCCCAGTTCAATTTCACGGGATTGCTGTGTAAAGTACTTCCTCACAAACACGTTCATAAATAAGAGTATAACACCGGGTATAACCTTGACCGTCTTTCCCCCAGAATTCACAATTAATGTTCATATACAAACAGCGACACCCTTCACATGCCATGGTGAAATTTATGCTGGTTGAGCAGAGCGACAGAGTGCGGCTTGCATGGCATATGATTGGCTAAGTACCGCTGAGAAAGACAAAATGTAGTGCATGCCAAACAAACTAGTGCCTACCTATTCATCTAAATATTTACCAAATGAAGCAATTTCCATAAAAAAATATTTTATCAGAACACACTGATGAAAATATAGCAAGACCATAAACACTAAAACAAATAACTCCCCGCATCCCCTGAGCAACGCTCTTGTGCATTATGTAGAAGACCCGACAGCAGCACCCTTATCCACTACCTCCTAAGATGTCCCCACACACAACGCTTCCGTGACGCCTGCTGGACCACCACTCCGCGACTCCCTGACGGAGACACGATGATCCTCCTCATACTGGCCAGATATTATGTAAATAACATTGATTGTGTTAAAGGAATATCCTTCCTTCCTTAGGCTTTAGTAAGCCCCTTTATAATATTTATACTGTATATACTTGTCACACTTGCCAGATGCTTCTGGTGTCATTGTACAGGGGTACCTAGTGACAGCACTAGGATCCTGCTTCCTCTATCAAGGAATAAACAACTGAAATTGAACATTGAAACAAATAACTCAGCAGCTGTGAAGTCCTCCATGTTAGCCGGTGAGATATTTTTCTAGTGTACTTCGTTTTTTTAATTGATTCTGGCATTCATCTCGGGCGGAAATGACTCGTTTTCATTTTTTTCCATATATTTTGAAATCAAAATTTAATAAAAAATGGCACATTTCCACATGAAACGTCATTCAGAATCAAATAAAAAAAAACGCCAAATTACACTTGAAAAACATCTCATACCAAAAGAGGCTCACAGCAGATTGCCATGGAGGTGTGCCCATTTCACCATCACATTTTTTACCCATTTCATCACCAATTTTTTTTACCCATTTCGTCACTGCATTCATTCCCATCACCATTTCAAGGGCAATACATTCCATAAAATACTTACATAATTAATACATCAATATAAAGAAACACAAAAATTGACCGAAATTTGCCAAAATAACTGTTGCTTGGGATAGAAAATAAACAAAACACCTAGTTAACAAAATTGTATTATGAAATTATGCCTCGGAATAACAATACATTGGATCATGCAAGCATCTCACTAAGACAATTAAAGACGAAAATAAAAACGTTATTACTCATGCAAGCATCTCACCAAGACAATTTATTAAAGACTAAAACAAAACAAAAATAAAAACATCGTTAATACCACTGCAATCATCTCACTTACACAATATGTGACTAACTAAAATTAAAAACAATTAAAATAAAAACATTGTTATTACTCATGCAAGCTTGGAAGACGACACTGACAATTTTTTAGGAAATTAGAAATGGTGATATTTTCTTCTTCATATTCATCCCACAGCTTCCAGAGATGGACTTGTTTGCCATGATTTGCTTTTCTTGTGCATGATTTTAGCTTGTGCTCAGCAACTAGTTGTAATTGCAAATCAACGAAGAAGAAATCACCTTCATTTGTTCTGTATTTTCTTTATTTACCAATTTTTTTATTAAATAATTAATAGTCATGTATAATAATAACAATAATTCTTGAGTTGTCTGTATACATGTGTATTTCTATTCGTGTAAAATAATACCTTACACTTTGTCACTAATACCAGCAACTCACGGTCTGTTAGTGGTGACAAAACGGATTTGATGTTGGCGACGAACTGGGTTGGTGACGAAATGGGGAGTATCCTTGCCATGTACTTGTCCGGTGGGGGGTTTGTGACCTACCGCAATGTAACCTAACCTACTATTGCCACATACTGGTAAAAAATCTGAAATCCCAAATGGGACAAAAATTAATATTAACCCAATCTACTTCAAGAACACCCTTGCTATCAACAACCCAAAGAACATCTGTGGAAAAAGAAAAAAGAAAAAGAGCAAAATTAAACAACTCCTAGTATTAGCCGTCTGGGTTAATATTTAGAAGTTGCCACCACCCAATTGACTTATGAAAAAAAAAAAAATTATCAGTGTAAATTATTGTATTAAATACAAATATAACCTTCATTACCATCGGAAATGAGCCATAGTACAGATATTGGGGGGAAACGGAGGTAAAAAAAAAATCTAAAAAAAAAAAAAAAAACCCTAACCTAACCCCTAGTGTAAGAAACTTACCTTAAGTAAGAGATACATGAGGATAGAGTGAGGCGACTTGAATGAGGAAGTGGTGTCTTCGTCAGTGTCCATCTCTTACCACAGCACCATGCATGGTGATCTACACGGTACTGACACTGAATTACAACTTGGGACACTTTACATGAAACAAAAACACCGTAAGCTCTAAAAAATGACAGCGGCTGCTGCTTCTTTGTACAAGATTAACTGAACAAGGTGGCAGCCAATCATTGTACATCTATCTCACACAGACGCCATCTTCCAACTGGCTGCAAATGTTGATTAGTGCAAGAGTATTACGTCACATCAACACTCACGTTGATGGGCCAAATACTATAAAATAAAAGTTAAAATAACTCTCACAGATACTCACTCACAGATGATCTTCTGGAAGAGGCTCACGCCTGTGACTCCAGCTCAATAGCCTCTTCTCTACTCAGACGGTGGCTGTGTGTGGCGGATATTTGTGCTCTATAATTATATACTTGTTGATTTTTCCAGTATTTATCTAATTTTGCTTCAAACTTTTCCACCATCTCCACATTCACTACCCACTCAGGTAACCCATTCCAGTTGTTGACAACCCTACTCGTGAACAAGTGTCTTCCGAGATTTAGCCTCGCTCTTGTTTTGTAGATCATCTTTGTGTTCCCCCGGGTAGTGTCAGCCTCCCTCATCTGGATCATTCCTGCTGTACATGCCACACACTATCTTGTGTTTCCACTTGGTCCCCACGAGATCTTCTGTACGCCAGTGTCGGTAACTGTAATTTCCTTAGTCTTTCATCATACGATAAATCCTTCATCTGTGGTACTAATTTGGTAGCCCTCCTCTGTACATTCTCTACTGCTTCAATATCCTTAATGAGATATGGGCACCAAATTTGATTAGCATACTCAAGGTGTGGCCTAACCAGAGCAGTGTACAGAGCCTTGAATATAGGTGCATCCAGATGAACAAAAGTTCTTCTAATAATGCCCACTATTTTATTAGCCTTGTTGATTTTCTCAGCTAGATGGTCAGAAAACGTCAGCTTATCATCAATGACTACCCCTATATCCTTCTCTACAGTGGTCTTCTTGATCATGGTGTACATATGATATCCATGGTCAGCAACTTTTGTTCTTCCTATCCTCATGTATTTACTTTTTTCTGGGTGAAAGTTCAGCATCCACTTCTCAGTCCAACCCCTGATCCCATCCAGGTCCTCCTGCAGCATGTCACAATCCTCATCTCGTTCTATTTTCCTAAAAATCTTTGTGTCATCCACATATAGATATACCTCAGTTGTGTTTAATTGCCTCAGGCAGGTCATTGATAAAAAGGACAAACAGCAGGGGGCCGAGGACAGAACCCTGAGGGACCCCACTAGTGACCTCTCTCCAGTCAAATACTTCTCCATTTACCACAACCTCCTGTTTTCTCTTAATTAAAAAATTCCTTACCCAATCAAGATATTTTCCATCAATGCGATAACTAGATACTTTTTTCTAATAGTCTTTTGTGGGGTACTCTATCAAAAGCCTTCATGAAGTCACAATACACTATGTCCACAGCCTGACGGTCATCGATAATTTCCGTCCACCCGTCTAGTACCCTAATCAACTGTAGAACTGTTGACCTGCCGGAAATGAAGCCAAACTGTTTATTACTAAACAATCCATATTTTTTCATATGGGATATCATCTCTTCCCATAATATTGACTCCATTAATTTGCAGATTACACTAGTTAGACTGACTGGCCTGTAGTTTCCTGGTTCACTTTTACTGCCCTTCTTATAGATAGCTGTGATATATGCAATATGCCAGTCCTCGGGTATATTTCCTTCTTGAAAAGAGCTTTCAAACAAGATCCTCAGAGGCTGAAGTAGTTCCTCCATCATCTCCTTAATGACTCTTGGATGTAACCCATCTGGACCGGGAGACATGTCTTTTCAATTTTTGAATCACCTTTCTTATTTTGCCCTCGGTTATCTCCAGGTGTTCAAGAGCTGGCACGTCTTTCTTGTTGGCTGTTGGTATCCCCCTATCTAGTTCCTTGATAAAAACTCGTGAGAATTGCTCTGAGAGTACATCTGCCTTTTCTTGATCATTCACAGTCTTCGGTACTTTTTCCTCATCCTTGTAAAGATCTGCAATTCTAGCTTTTGTTCTTGTTTTTGTCTGTACATACTTCCAGAACACTTTTGGATTTGCCTTAACATTTTTCGCAATCTCTTGTTCTTTGCGTTTCAAGATGTTTCTAGTTTCCCATCTGACCTGGTTATTTAATCTCCTGTATTCCTTTTCAGTTTCCAGATACATCTCCCTTGTGCATGCTCTTTCTTTGAACTTCGTTTTCATTATTTTCAGTCTCTCCCACAGTCTCTGTTTTTTTCTTCACTTTAGCCCAGAGCTTCTTGTTCATGGGTAATTTTTCATTTGTTCTTTTTCTGCTAACCCTCAGTCCTCTGATTATCTTCTTAGGGACACACTCGTCAATGACTGCCTGGAATTTTCCTTTGAACTTATTCCACTTACTTTCAATATCTGGTTCCAATGACAAGTATTGGATCCAGTCCATCGTAAGCCTTTGCTTCATCAGTAGGTAATCTGCTTTTTCATACATGTCCACTTGTTTTTTACTTTTGTCTTCCATCTCCTGTATGTCACAATGGAAATAAATACAGGCATGGTCACTCTTTCCCAACGGACTCTCCAGCTTGATATCTCCTACTATAGATTCTTCGTTACTGAACAACAGGTCAAGGGTATTGCCTGTGCTGTCTCCTCTTATCCTGGTGATTTCCTCTATATGTTGAGTGAGAAAGCAGTCTCGTACTTTCTCGATGAACATGGTACCAACATCATTCAGTCCCATTACAGAAGTATAATTACTCCAATTTATTTGTGGAAGATTAAAATCACCTACAATTATTTTATAAAGCACATTTTTATCATTGACTTCCTGCATAAGTTGGAGCAAATTAGTATTATTGCTTTCATCACTATTAGGGCTTCTGTAAATGGAGGTAAATAGTAAATTACCACTACTACATGGCACTTCTATACAACAATATTCACAAAACTTAGTATCAAGTTCACCACTGTAAAATTTGGTTCCTTTCCGAATATATATTAACATACCTCTCCCTTCCTTATTAAGGAGATTTTGCTCTATAATGTCATAACCTTCTAGGTTATATTCAGCTGTAATCCGTTCATATCTGTAGTGTTTTGGCTTTACCTCCTGTAAGGCTATTACTTGCGGAGTATTTTTCATCTTCAACTGTGCATTTAACTCTATTAACTTGTCTGAACTCAACACATCCACATTACTAAACATAATAAGAGATTTACCTACATTAACATTGTGTTCTTGTTTTTTCCTATTTTTAATCAGTTTCCTTACACTATTTACACTACTGGTATGTACATGTTCTCCTCTTTGGGCCTCACTACTTCTCTTGGACCCCTATTTTGACGACTCTTCGCCTCTACAGGGGACCCACCACTCTGTGTCTCCCCTTCCCGGAGTCCATTAAGTTTTTTGCCTCCTGCCATAAAACAGCTTCATGATCTCTCTCCCTTTTAGTTAAGTCATTGGCTATTCTTATGTCTTGGAATTTCATGTTACCTTGCAGGTTCCTGATGTTTCTAAATAGGTTGGCCTTTATATCTGCAGTAGATAACTTGACTAGCATAGGTCTAGCTTTTCCCTGGATAAATTTACCCAGCCTAATCACTTTAACTATTATCTCCTGGCCACTAGTGACGCCACATTCTTTTATTAGGTTCAGTGCATAAGATTTATCACTCAATCCTTTCGCTCATTGTTGGGGATCCAGGTTCTGGTGCACCATATACCACTATGTTGTTTTCCCTCTTCTTTCTCTCATTTAGTTCCTCTTTAAGTTCACCAACAGGCTCTGGTTTCCCTGTGTTGTCTTCCTGCTTCACTTCAGTGGCACTACCTGTTACCCTGCCAGAATCTACTTTCCCTTCTAAACCCACTCAAAAACTATACATTTCTGACATAAACGTTATAGAATAATTTTTATTTTTCTCCATCTACCCACATGACTCAATGTTCAGTTAACTGGTGGCAACTTCTAAATATTAACCACTGTCTGTTTCAGTATTAACATTTTGTAATGGAGATTTATTTAAACATGGGAGATTTATTAAAAAATGCAGCTAATATGGAGGATCTCAGTCGCTTCCCCTTGTCTCAGTAACAGTAAGTTCGCCCACGGTACATGTGAATTTACACTAAGTTGAGGTTAGGTTAACTTTAATTTTTAAATAACCACTTTTCAATACATTTGCCATAGCCACGAGTGTCTACTATAAATCACTGTGAAATTGCGTCATTTTTAAATTCGTTGTATATGAAAAAACAGAGGATGTGAAAACGTAAATAATTATCCAAAAAGCAGTAAATTTGCTGGAAGCTCATGGAAGCAACATTAGGAGCCTGCCAGCCCAACTAAGAACAAAACTACTCCTTATATTGTGTTTTCCTCTTGTTTCATCTGTACAGTTCTGTATAACATTTATACAATGAAAATTAAAACATTTGCAGTTATTTTTTTGTGCCCAGCCAAATTTGTGATGCACATATTAAGGTTAAGTGGTCCAACTTTCCTGCTTTCTGTAGCAACGATAATCCATCAACATTTGGTTATGGACCTATACCAATATCCTACATTTATTTATAGTTTAAACCTTTGGTTCATATTAAACAGAACTATGTCAGCTATAACAAAATGGTGTGGTCAAGTGTAGTGAACAAGAGGTGTGCACTTAACAGATCTAGTGTCGGCTGGGAGTAATTGATACAATCCCTTACAACAGGAAATGGTGCCCATACTAATTCTTTGTTCTGTCCAGTGTACAATATAGTTTAAAGGTTTTACATAATAAAACTGCAGTGCACGGTTAAATCTGAGACCAACGAAGGTTGATATATGTAATAGCCAGGAAACAAAGACAGGAGAGGCAGGGTGAGTGGGGTGTCCGCCTGCGCCGCCGCAGCTGCCGCTCACTCAGCGTCAACCTCAGCGTCACTCCTTCTCACCCCAATAACGTCCAGAATTCAAACAAATATACAATAATATATAAATAAAGTTCGTCTACAGGTATTTACCTACAACTGGAATCATGTAATGAGTGCGAGTACTTACACTTCAGGCAGATAACTCAAGTAGATTATGGAACCGCCATTCCCCCTCCTTTGTGGCACAAAGCAAACATGGCGTCTTTCCGATTGACGTGTTCGATATCCTGATATCTTTATAATATTTAACATCAAAATATGTCTTTATAATTACTATGTTGGGTTCATAATTATAAAAAATTAAAATACATTATAATTTATTATGAATCACATTGTGTATTACTTAGTGAAGGGAAGACGACATCTTTTGTCCAAATTGTTGAATATCGAGAGGATGATTCGAACACGACCATTTAACGTACCCGGGCCAGAGCTGTACCGGGGACCTGTATCTTCTTTCACAATGTTATCGAATTTCGGGCAACTTCCCACAAACACTTTACAAATTATTATATATTGCTTAGTCTGGTATCGTTCCAGGCGTGTATTGATAAAAACTGTGATAACTAAATCTTCAAAATGCGGATGTTCGTAATATGACATATTTAGTGAGATTAACGGTTATACTGTACAGATTTATGTAAAAAGAACAACCAGAGAGATATGAAGGTTTGTATTAAGTACTGGTAGTGCAGAGTGGGAACGGCATTAAACGAAAAGATAGATAGAGCAAATTCTTATAAGATAAACAATTTTAAAGTATATATTTCCGTAACGGTTTACCTTATTTAAATACACGAGAAAATTTGGGCGGGAATCTGACAGCGGATGTCAAGGGAAACGGGAGATGCCAGACGGCACGGGTCAGGTCTCAGGTCTAAAGGATAATCAGCAGTCCGGCTCCAGGGGTCAATATATACGGGAAAATACACAAGGGTGTTTGATGATTAGTTGCAGGATTACACACAAGGGTCAAAATCACAATGGCTTCGTGATGACTATGTGTAAACACGGGTCTTTTTTTTAAGATTAATCCACATCTCCCCGTCTGTACAATAATAATGAGTAACGTACACCAACTAAAAAAATATTCGGCACCCGTGTCATATTGTATTGTAGTGGATTTCTCCCCTACAAACGCTGTTTGTCGCTGCCCATCCTGAGTGTGAACCAAACATCCTGAACCCCACAGTATCATGCCGTAAGGGTGCCGAATATTTTTTTATTGGGTGTTCATAAGTACCGTGACTGGTATTGGCTTTCATGCTGAGAGTCAGGATTATTGTACACCCAATAAAAAAAATATTCGGCACCCTTACGGCGTGATACAATATGACACGGGTGTCGAATAATTTTTTAGTGGGTGTACAGTACCATACCTACTGCACTGTACTGCGGTAAAGCACAAGCAGTAAGCAGCTACCAATCAGGGAGGTACAGAGGTACTGCCGCCTGGGAAGATATTGGAAGCATAATGTATTGTCTAATGGTAGACCCTGTTGCCATGTGGCATTGTAGTGGATTTCTCCCCTACAAACGCTGTTTGTCGCTGAGTAGCCGACCCTGCGAATTCCCCAGTGTATGCCTCGTGGTCTAGGTCAACCAGCGCCGCCATACATCATGGAGGTCAACTATTAAGCCACGCCTACCTCCGCTATATAAGACCTGACCTCGTGGTGACCTACCTCTCCTTCTACCTACACCAACCAGCAAGCAACACCACCTCCTCCGCCGCTGCCTGGCGGCCCTCGCTCCCGCTGGCGAGCATGGCGACCCACAAGCTTGTCCTCCTCTGAGCATCCTCTCCAACCAGCTCTCTCTCTACATCACGTTTGTAACCACGCTGCCTCCTACCAGCACCAGCCACCAAGCTGCATTGTACATCCAATATAATATGTATACAGAGAGCACAGTGAGTTTCCTTTCTCCATCCGATCCTGAGTGTGAACCCAAACATCACATTACCCCACAAATGGTGACCCCCGGAGATTAGCACTCACACAGGATGGAGGAGAAACCGATCACTCTCCCAGTCTTCAAGCAACATGGAAGACTGGCTTATCCACCCAGAGGCAGCTCTCATCGGCTCCACAGCTACTGTCTGTACACCGCAGGTTAGACACCCTAGAGCAGCAATGCTTCTCTAAGCAGACACCAGCTCCTCTTCCTGCCCCAAGCCATACCGACCCCAACACACTCGTCCTGCCTCAGACGCCGCCCCGGCCCAGCAGTACCCCCTGCCGCTCCTCCTCACGCGGCCCCTGCTCCTGACGCGGACCCACACGCCCCTCTTTTCTTCCTCAGGTATCCCCTGCTACTGTCCTGCACCCTGCTGCTGTCACGAGCCCTCATCCGCTCCTGCTGACGCAGCCCCTGCTCCTGACCCAGGCCCACACACCCCAGCAGGCGCATCTGAGAACTCTGTACCTGTCGCGAGGAAAACACAACATTCATCACCTCCACAACCCTCTTTCTCCCTCTCTTCTCTCACAGATCTTGTGTGTCTAGACAGTTGCCTCCACTACCGGCCGGCTCATCCACGCCCTCGCCGTTATGGCTCACATGTGGCATGCACCGCCCGTTCTGCCTCACATATGCCATGCAACCCTGCAGACAACAAGTCTCCTACACCACCTGGGGGAAGGGGGGAGTACTGTAGTGGATTTCTCCCCTACAAACGCTGTTTGTCGCTGAGTAGCCGACCCTACGAATTCCCCAGTGTATGCCTCGTGGTCTAGGTCAACCAGCGCCGCCATACATCAAGGAGGTCAACTACTAAGCCACGCCTACCTCCGCTATATAAGACCTGACCTCGTGGTGGTCTCTCTTCTTCTAGCTACAGCCGCAACAAGGTACACCACCTCCTCCGCCGCTGCCTGGCGGCCCTCGCTCCCGCCGGCGAGCATGGCGACCCACAAGCTGTCCTCCTCTGAGCACCCTCACCAACCAGCTCTCTCTACATCACGCTTGTAACCACGCTGCCACTTCCCAGCACCAAGCTGCATTGTACATTCAATACAACATGTATACAGAGAGCACATTGCGAGTTTCCTTTCTCCATCCCATCCTGAGTGTGAACCCCAAACAACCCGTACCCCACAGCATCACGAAAATTGTGACCAAGACCCAGGTTGCTGATCTGACTTTCTGCCTCATTTACACACAATTGCAGGGTCTCAATTGTTTCTCTTACTTTGACAACACAACATACATAATTCATTTATCACTCTTGATCTTTTTTTCACTTTGTATTTCTTTATGGTTCTTTATTATTATTACAGTATAATTATTATCATTGCTTTTATTATATTATTAGTGGTTGTTATTATTATTATTACTACCATTTTATTTTCAATTTTGTATTTATTACAAATTATATTTACTTTAACTAATTATTATATTTTTTTATTATTATTACATTTTCGCCCCCCAGGCCCCGTTGTGGGTCAGTGACCTGTGCCCAGGTGGGCTAATCCCCATAAAAAAAAAACTCTCAGTTTTGTGTTCCGATTTTGATGTCTGGGCCAGATGTGAAAATGGTGTTTTCAGTGTCGCAAGTGTGACCCAACTTTCTCTGGAACCAGTACTCTGGTTTCCCTCTGTATTAATACTGGATTATTTAACTGGCTAATAAGCTGACAAGTGGTGAAAATGATAAATTATATTGTCAACAAGTGTATAACAGTTCAATGCACAACACAGTAGTTAGGTCTACAAATTTTACACCATGAACAGGAGGTGGAGGGGATAAATTTAGTTAACAATTTAGTAGTTGGCAACATCTACTTACAGTATGTATTGAGTTGTGGGGTACTGGTTATTGGTTCACACTCAGGATGGGATGGAGAAAGGAAACTCACAATGTGCTCTCTGTATACATGTTGTATTGGATGTACAATGCAGCTTGGTGCTGGGAAGTGGCAGCGTGGTTACAAGCGTGATGTAGAGAGAGCTGGTTGGTGAGGATGCTCAGGGGAGGACAAGCTTGTGAGTCGCCACGCTCGCCGGCGGGAGCGAGGGCCGCCAGGCAGGCGGAGGAGGAGGTGTTGCTTGTTGGTTGGTGTAGGTCGAAAGAGAGAGAGAGAGAGAGAGGCCACCACGAGGTCAGGTCTTATATAGCGGAGGTAGGCGTGGCTTAATAGTTGACCTACGTCATGTAAGGCGGCGCTGGTTGACCTAGACCACGAGGCATACACTGGGGAATTCGCAGGGTCGGCTCCTCAGCGACAAGCGTTTTTAGGGGAGGAATCCACTACAATACTCCCTCCTTCCCTCCAGGCGGTGTAGGAGACTTGTTGTCTGCAGGGTTGCATGGCACATGTGAGGCAGAACTGGCGGTGCATGACACATGTGAGACATAACGGCGAGGGCGTGGATGAGCCGGCCGCTAGTGGAGGCAACTGTCTAGACACACAAGATCTGTGGGAGAAGAGAGGGAGAAAGAGGGTTGTGGAGGTGATGAATGTTGTGTTTTCCTCGCGACAGGTACAGAGCCCTCAGATGCGCCTGCTGGGGTGTGTGGGCCTGGGTCAGGAGCAGGGGCTGCGTTAGGAAGAGTGTCCATGACAGCAGCAGGGCCCACGACAGCAGCAGGATGCAGGACAGTAGAGTACCTGAGGGAAAAAAAAGGGGTGTGTGGGGCCGCACTCAGGCGCATGGGCCGCGTCGGGAGCAGGGACTGCCAGGCAGGAGCGGAGGATCCGCGTCAGGAGGAGGGTCCAGGACAGTGGCAGGGGGTACTGCTGGGCCGGGGGCGGCGTCTGAGGCAGGACGGGTGTGCTGGGGTCGGTAGGACGTGGTGCTTGGGGCAGGAAGAGGAGCGGCTGTCTGCTTAGTCGCAGAGCTGCTCTAGGGTGTCTAACCTGCGGTGTAGAGACAGTAGCTGTAGAGCCAATGAGAGCTGCCTCTGTGTGGATAAGCCAGTCTTCCATGTTGCTTTAAGACTGGGAGAGTGATCAGTTTCTCCTCCATCCTGTGTGAGTGCGAATCTCCGGGGGTCACCATTTGTGGGGTACTGGTTATTGGTTCACACTCAGGATGGGATGGAGAAAGGAAACTCACAATGTGCTCTCTGTATACATGTTGTATTGGATGTACAATGCAGTTTGGTGCTGGCAAGGCAGCATGGTTACAAGCGTTGAGTAGAGAGAGCTGGTTGGTGAGGATGCTCAGAGGACAAGCTTGTGGGTTGCCATGCTCGCCG